AAATTTAGTTAAGTTAGGTTTGGTTAGGTTAGGTTAAGTTTGGTTAGGTTAGGTTTCTCGTTGCTAAGGAGAACACAAGATACAAGCCAACCAGACCACCACGTGACTTGACCTGACGAGCTTAAGCCAGGATGTGTCTGTCTGTCTGTGAGGTGGAAGAGCTTAAGCCAGGGTGACTGTGTGTGTGTGTCAGGTTAGGTTAGGATGATCGTCATACTCGATTCAGAGTGACAGCAAAGTAGTAGTAGGAGTTTAGGTTATGTTAAAATTAAGTTAGGTTAGGTTAAATAAGTTAAATTAGGTTAAAACTTAAGTTGGATTAGATTGAAATTAAGTTAGGTCAGGTTAAAGTTAAGCTAAGTTAGGTTAGGTTAAGGTTAAGTTAGGTTAAAGTTAAGTTAAGTGAGGTCAGGGTAAAGTTAGGTAAGGTTAGGTTAGGTTGCCAGCTTTACAGTTACTATGAAAACCACGACAAACTTTTTGAGAATGTGGCCCCTCGCTCTCTGACCTTGTTGATACTTAAGACGAATATATCATCTCTTCTTTCTTCTTTCACTTCTTTCTCATATTTTTCCCCTTATTGCTTCTTTCACTTTTCTCTCTCTCTCATTCTTGCTTCTCTCTTTCTCTTATTTATCCTCCTGTTTCATTCTTCTGCCTCTCTTCAGTTCTTGTTCTTTCCTTCTTTCTTTCTTTCTTCTTTACCCTGCTTCCTTATTCTTTCCTATTCTCCCTCCCCCTCCCTCCTCCACGTCAAGATCATTCCCCAGGGGACAATGAACCTTAAGCATTGTTAAACCACGGGCGACTATTGCTTGTTTGTGCCTGAGAAAACTCGCCTCTGGGATCATACTGGATTAGGAACCTTCTGGTCCTCTGGTGTAAGGTCGATAATAACCATGGTCTCTGCCTAGGGGTGGTGACTGGCTGTACGTACGGTTGAAATTCCCTTGTTTGTCCCTGGGAAGAACAATGAAGGGATGACACAGGAATAACTCCATTATGACGATTGTATATACGTGTGACTTTTGCTTACGTCATGTCTGGGTAGAATTACATTGGGGGAATTCATGAAGGATTATCACCTTTATTTCACCTTGATATGCAGGTGGAAATTGCTTGCTTGTGCTTGAAGGTAACTGGCCAGAGACTTAGTGGATTATGAACACAAATTACCTTCTTGTGCAGGTGAGATTACTTTTATTTATGTTTATATTTTTGTTTTTCTCCTCCGGAAGACAATCATGGCCGATTACTGTCAGTTATCATCCTTAAAACAACCTGGTATAAGGGTGGAAATAGCTTGTATAATCCTCTGAGAAACATGCAGGGGATTATCAACGTTAAGGCTACCTGGTATAAGGGTTGGTACTGCTTGCTTTAAACCTGCTGGTGAGGATTTGCTTGTGGATGCAGACACTGGAGTCATACACAAAGGTTCAAGACGTTAACATACACCTGTAGGGATTCTGTCTTGCTTACTGTAGCTAAATATACCCTGGGGGGGGGGGTTAGGTTAGGTTAGGTTAGGTTTTGGTGGGGCCTTAATCTAGATGTGAGCATAAAGGAAGATAGCGCCTTAACGCACATACATACATACACACACACACCACACACACACACACACACACACACACACACACACATAGGATCAGCTCAACACAACGCACAACATAATCCAAAAGGGGTCGTGGTATTGTGTAGCTAATGTGTGGCTCAATGTGTGTCAACCAATGATGATATTATTAATGTATTGTGTGTGTGTGTATGTGTTTTGATACAGTTTTGATGTGTTGGTATAATGTAAAGTTTGGTGTAATAAAGCACTAAAGGCGGTGTTGTGACGTAAGGGGGGGGAGGTCATCGATGAAGTGACCCCACACACACACAGACACAGACAGACGGAAAACACACGGTGGGTGCAGTTGTACGACCTCTTCCCCCTCCTCCTCTTCCCCCCCTCCTCCCCGCTTCCCTACCCCCTCCCCCTTCCTCCCGGTGTCGTGTGTGTGTGTATGATAACCCGAGGTCATGTTTTGTCCTTCGCACACACACACACACACACACGCACACGCACACACCTATGACTAAGCAGAGACATACAGACAGATAAGTTTGTGTCCCATGTCTATGTTGTGCCACGTGTGTGTGTGTGTGTGTGTGTCTATCCTCTTTTTTTAGGATTAGTGTTTATCCGCCCTTCTGTCTGTCTGTCATTAGGTTAGGTTGGTCACTTCACTAAATCCAACTTTACAAGGACCTCCTCCTCCTCCAGGAAGCTCTTCGTCACCACCACCTCTCCTTCATTAGTGTTCCTCCCCTCCTGTCCTCTCACCTCTCACCCTCCTCTTTCATCACCCCCTCTCTCTCCTCCTCCCCCTCCTCCCTCACTGTTTCTCTTCCGCTTCCTTACCTCTTATCCTCCTCCTTCACCACTTCCTCTTTCATCATCCTTGTTCATTTCCTCCTCTTCCTCTTCCTTCCTTTATCATTGTTTCCTCCCCACTCCTCATCCTCCCCCTTACCTCCACTTCTCTTCCTCCTCCCTCTCTCTTCCCCTTCCTTCCTACAGTTCCCATACCTGTCCCTCCCTCCCCTCCCTCCCTCCCTTCCTCCCTCTCTCTCCTCCCCTCACCTCTCCCTCCTCCCTTCCTCCTCTCCCTCCCTCCCCCTCACCTCCCTCCCTCCCCCTCACCTCCCTTCCCTCACCTCTCTCTCCTCCCCTCACCTCTCCCTCCCTCCTCTCCTCCCCTCACCTCTCCCTCACCACTCCCAGGTATCATATCACTCCTACCTCGCCCTCCATCCCTGGTGTGGTGAGGCTGTGGTGTCGAGTTTCATTTAAAGTCCTTCTGTTCCATCATCTCCCCCTCCCCCCGGGCCCTGAGGGAGGTGGGTGGGCGTGTGCGGAGGAGGGTGTGGTGTGTGGGTGGAGGAGGGTGTGGTGTGGGTGGAGGAGGGTGTGGTGTGTGGGTGGAGGAGGGTGTGGTACGTACGGAAGAGGAAGAGGGTGTGGCGTGTGGATGGAGGAAGGTTTAGGAGTGTAGATGGTGGATAAGAAAGACATGTGGATGGAGGGTCTGGATGTGGAAAAGTGGAAGAAAGAATTAAGGTGTGGATACGTGGGAGGGTGGTGTAGTTGTGGGTGTGTGTGAGAGAAGTGGAAGAAATTGGGAAAAAAAAATAAGTGTTTGAAAACGATCTCTTGAGTCTGACGGCAAAGGGGAATACACCAGACACACCCAAACCTTCCTCCTCCTCCTCCTGCTGGTGTTGTTGTCGCCCTGGGGTAAATGTCTTCGTGTCTTATCCCCTTCACATCTATACGTCCTCCCGGCCTCTTACAGCCTTGGGAAGTTGTCGTGTTTTGGAGGTGTTCATGAGGTAGAACTCCCCACAACACACTATAGAGACACTCCCTCCTCCCCACTATCTCTCTCTCCTCCCCCCCACTATCTCTCTCCCTCCTCCCCACTATCTCTCTCCCTCCTCCCCACTTCTCCTCTGTAGTGTGTGTGTGTGTGTGTGTGTGTGTGTGTGTGTGTGGTAGGTGATAATGTCCGTGCCCCCTTTGAACGCTTTTAAAGAACTTTCCCGACCTCATTTTTTATTGTGGGAAGAACTTCGTCGTCGTCTTCGTCAGTAGAGAGCATCACCTCGGGGTATAGTGTAGACCTGTGTGTTGCTAACTTACTCACTTCCTGTCCCTCATCTGCTGGCAAGGTTGTGTGTGTGTAGCGTGAGAGGTGACGGTGTAGTCGTGTGTGTTCTCCTGCCCTCATGTCTGACTGAGGCTCTCTAGGGCCAAGTTCTGTTGTTGTTTTTGTTTTTATTGTTGTTGATGTTATTGTTGTTGTTATTTTTGTTTTGTTGTTGTTGATGTTATTGTTTGTATTGTTGTTGTTGTGACGGATGGTGGTGGCGTGAGGTGTTGCCCAGGTAAACACACCAACTGCTCTGTCTCACAGCTCACCTCTGGTTTCTTCCTTCATGATCTAGTTAATGTTTGTTGAGTTTTAGTTGTCTGTCTGGTGGTGGAGGTGGAAGTGGTGGTGATGATGGTGGTAGAAGTGGAGGTGGTGGTGGTGGTGGAAGTGGAGGTGGTGGTGGTAGAAGTGGAAGTGGTGGTGGTGGTGGAAGTGGAGGTGGTGGTGGTGGTAGAGTGGTGAGAAGTGGAAGTGGTGGTGGTGGTGGAGGTGGTGGTAGAAGTGGAAGTGGTGGTAGAAGTGGAGGTGGTGGTGGTGGTGGAGGTGGAAGTGATGATGGTGGTGGAGGAGGGATAATAATCACTGAGCCAGACACGTGCCCGGTGAGACGCGTGTTGGTGGTGGAGGGAAGGTAGAGGTGAGAGATGTCCCTCCCTCCTGCCCCGGCCTCACCACACACCACCACCAGATGGTACCAGTCGCGGCCGAGGGAGGAGGGGGGGGGGCAAGTTTACTCGGTTAATAGTGCATTGAACCCGAGGCCTGACAGCTCCTAACCTAATCTAACTTACCTTACCTAACCTTTTCAAGTCACTTCTCCTTCACTCCTTTCGAAGCCACTCTTCCTCCAACCCCTATGCCTCCTCCTCCTCCATCACAGAGAGCGGTGGGAGACAATATTGGTGTTGTTGTGTGAGTCACCATCACTACTGTACTGTCCTCCTCCCGTGATGTATGGTGGAGAAGGTGGTGGTGGTGGGGAAGGAGGGGGGTTGGGGAAGGAGGGGGTTGGGGAGTGTGTGTGTGTGTGTGTCCTCTTTATTGTCAACCCTTCATAGTTTTTATCTGATTCACCGAGAGCTTAAACAAAATAATGACGCGTTCTTGATTTATGTGTGAGTGTTAGTCGTGAATATCCTTTATAATTAGTAGTAGACGTAGTATTGTTATTATTTATTTCTCGTATTATTATTGTTGTTGTTGTTAAGAGTAGTAGTAGTAGTATCGTTATTATTATTATTTATTGTTATTGTTGTTGCTTACAGTACACTAACGATCATTGTTGTGTTCCAGAGAAGGAGCTGGGGACGAAGAGCATTGTAGCCATGTCCAACAACCAGACCATCCTCCACCACCCCTCAGCCCTCGACAAACATGACAGGTGAGTCGCGTCCTCTTTCTCACCTGTAGCTACTTTATTAACCTGTCTCGCCCCTCACTCCAGTTACCTGTCTCTCTGACTGTCTCTTATGGCTAGACTGTCCACCTGTCCCCCTTCCTCCCGTCCTTTGTTCTGGAAGGAGTGAAGGAAGGTACGGAGGATTGGAGTGAGGGAGGGGGGCAGGGAGGGATGGATGGAGGGAGGGAGAAAAACACGACCCTCCCTTTATACAGACAGATACAGGTCCCTCCCCCCCCCCCCTCACAGCTTAATGGAGTTATTTTAATTTTGTTACAGTAGTGCAGATGTATGTAGCATATACGAGTACAGATACAGGTATGGGTACAGTTAGAGGTAGTAAGTGTACAGGTGTGGGTACAGAGATACAGTTTAAGGCAGAGGTGTCAAACTCATGGCCCGCGGGCCAAATGTGGCCCTTGAGATGGTCAGGAGTGGCCCGCGGGATGACGGTAAAATTTATCATCCCGTGAAATTATGAAAGAAATAGATATAATTATGTTTATTAGTAAAGTGAAAATGACATACTGAAGATGAGACAAGTATTAAGGCAATGTGTGAAGCTGTAAACTTCAATCCTGCCAATATGTGATACAGCACTTGTGTTGGCCCTGAAGAGGGTAACTAACATAAGAATTGGCCCTCGAAAGGTTTGGACGCCACTGGTGTAAGGTAAAGATACAAATATATAAGTGAGTTGTTGTGGTGAGGAAGGATGGTAGGGAGGCCACAGATGGTTGTGTGGCCACGTGTCTGTAATTATCTTACCTGGCCACGTGTGTCATTTTCTTACCTGGCCACATAAATCATTATCTTACGTGGCCAAGTGTTCGTCGTTACCTGGCCATACTGACTGGCCAAATATCTGTCGTTACCTGGTTTGATACTAAAATTTATATATGGAATAACTGAGTTACCTAACCTATATTAATATCGGTATAGTAATAATAAATAATAATAATAATGATAGTAATAATGATAATAAACATTGATAATAATGTTAAATGATGACGATAATGATAATAATAGTGATAAATGGTGATAGTGTGTTGGGTTAGGTCTGGCTGACGTCTGACCTTGGGTGCGAGTGGACAGTAAAGTTGTGTTGGTCAATATATATCGTGTGAGTCAACTGCTGATGGTGAGGTGGAGGAGGGGTTGATGGTGCGGTGGAGGAGGGGTTGATGGTGAGGTGGAGGAGCAGTGAGAGACAGAAGGGGAGGAGAGGACCATTGAGAGAAGAATAGAGGCAGAAGGAGAGGAAGAGGAGGAACACTAAGTCCATGGGGAGAGGGAAGAAGACTAGAAGACAGGAAATACGTAATGGAAAAGGGAAGAGGAAGGGGAGGAGGATAAGAGGTAGAATGCAAAGAAAGGGATTGAAACGGAAGGGGTAAGTAGGTTGATGAGAATGTGAGATAGATAAAATAAAGGAAGGAAAGGGGAAGAAGAGAAAATGAGTAAGAAAAGGGAGAAAGTGATAAAGGAGAGAGGAGAGATGTAAGAGGAAGAAGCAGTAAGAGGCGGAAGGAAGTAAGGAAGAGGGGGAGGAACGGAGTGAGAGGGGAAGAGGAAGGGGGAAGAGAGAGGGAAGGGGGGTAACACACACTGGCTGGCTGCTCGAGGTGGTGTTGGGTGTCACCAGTAATCAGGTTAGGTCAGGTCAGGTTAGGTTAGGTTAGGTGAGTGCCGAGTGGAATGTGCTACTGGTAAGTGGTGGACAGGTTAATGAGGCATCGATCAGGTTAATGAGGCATCGATCAGGTTAATGAGACCTTTGTGTGTGTGTCTGATGGAGGCGTTATACATGTACGGTACCTGTGTTGGCTATATGAGTCATTATAACGAGGTTTGTGAGGTACTAAGTGGACAAGATAACGAGGGTGAAGGTCATGTCTGTCGTCTGCTTTACTTATCACTATGAGACTTGCGACACACACCTGACACTTGCGACACACACCTGACACTTGCGACATACACCTGACACTTCACCGTGACATCAGACATATATCCTGACACCACCCTTGACCACACCACCACCACCGCAGCTGACACATCTCCTGACACCACCCAGAACCACACCACCGCAGCTGACACATCTCCTGACACCGCATGATACCCTCCTCTGTCCTCACACGACCGAATTAATCTGTCTGACCTTCCCACTTGACGCCACACCCCCAAGAGCCACACCGTCTGACTTCACACCGCCAGACCCTAGTACCTTCCCCCGGGGCTGACAGTCATAATAGACCCCAGTCGTCAGCTCTAACATAACCCTAACGTAACGTAACCTAACCTGATCATTATATCTGGAGGGCTATTAGAGTCTGGCTGTGGTGGTGATGGTGATACTGGCGGTGGTGGTGATGGTGATACTGGTGGTGGTGGTGATGGTGATACTGGCTGTGGTGGTGATGGTGATACTGGTGGTGGTGGTGATGGTGATACTGGTGGTGGTGGTGATGGTGATACTGGCGGTGGTGGTGGTGATACTGGTGGTGGTGATGGTGATAATGGTGGTGGTGGTGAAGGCTGTGTTGTTGTTATTTATCCCAGCATCACGAGGTGGTTCCTGTCCCTGGGTCCTGGTGTTTACTCGGCCCAATTGACTTTTGTTGACACGATCAGCTGATAACTTTAACACTTGTGAGGCGCAAATGGTGGCAGCGAGGCGGGAAGTTGGTCTCTTGGGAGGGGGGTGGTTAAGGAGATGTTTTAGGTCGGGATGATATTACCAGAACGGCCACCAGGTGTTAATTGACTGATATCACGTCTCAGTTACCTGTTCTTACCTGTAGCTTCCAGTAATGAGGGAACAATTAACCTGTATCTCACTTTTGTATCCCACCTTTTAGCTCACTTGATCCTCAGCTCACTACAACAACGTGTGGTTATTTGCCTCAGTGGGATACAAAGGTTCTTAACAGCTTCTGGGATCTTACCACTCGGCCGCCTCCACCGCCGCGATTGACTCTCCTCTTACCGCGCTTTAATTTGGTTTAATTTGTTTTTTGTTTTTTTAGCGCTACGAGGTTCTTGCCCGTCACGCTTGATTCAGATCTTTGTACGATTTATTTTTAAGAGAAGGGGGTGACGTGACTAGTCAGGTCAGGTAAAAAATAAGGGACCCACTTCTCTTAAGCTCCTCTACGTGTGTGTTGGTGTGGGGATTAGTGGATGACATCATTATGACCTGACCTCATGTTTAATAAGGTCACCCTGTATATTTAAGCCTCTCTTTGTCCATGTAATTCAGTTGCCTCTGAAGATGTCTTGAATAAAGACGAACGCTAAGGTGCTCCGTTGTTTCCCTTTTCCCGTGTGATTTGATCAAGATATAACCATACATACACCAAAAAGAGTATCATAATAAGTTTGAACTGTGGATAAGACTCCTTACAGGAGGCCACACACACACACTCTCTTTGATGTATGACTGACAGCAATTCTAGATCAGCGTCAGGAGGCATTACCTAACCCGTTGGTCCTTCTTATTGCCTCTCTGCAAGGACCTCACGTGTCTGGGGAAGAGAGAGAGAGAGACTACATCTAGTTCATAAGGCAGCCCCCCCACACACACGGTAACATGGCCTCATTAACATACTTAAAGCAGTTTAGGAATTTTTTCATTGAACGCCTGACTGTTGAGGCGGCAAGACTTCATCCCCTCTCCCCTTCCCCTACCCCTTCCTCTCCTCCTCCCACCCACTCTCCTCCCACCCACCTCTTCCTCCACCCCTCCTGCCCCACCTCTCCACCCCTTCCTCCACCCCTCCACCCATCCCCTCCCCCGGCAAGCTGTTCCCTAAAGTTTTAAGCCTCGTATCAGGTCGAGATTTTCACATTTTCTCAACATGTACAAAAATGCAAAGGTACTTTTTTTTAATATCTCTCCCGGTAATGTTTTTAGTGTCGTGGGAATGTTGTGAGTGGCGTGGGATAATTTTTCTATGGCGTGGCAACATTTTCTGTGTCCTGAATATGGAGTGTTGGGCGTGGGAACATTTTCTGTGGCGTGGGAACGTTATGTAAGTGATGGAACCTATACCCGCTGTAGATGGACGCTCGTTAAATGGAAGTGACACTAATATAGGTACAGAAACAGATGTTGATTTTGTTGACAATTATATCTCTCTCTCTCCGCCCTCCCGCCCTCCGCCCGCCCACTACGCCCACACTCACACTGGGGGAGGACTTAGCAGTTGTGGTGGGGCGGCGTTGCAAAATTGATGCTACTCCGCCACACTCTCGGCCTCTGAAACCTTGACATTTTCTTCACTGTGCAACAAATGGCGTCGTTGCAAGTCTGGAATGGTTACTAACAGTCGTGGATGCTTGTTGCAAGGCGAGGATGGTTGTTACAGGACTGGGATGGTTGTTACAGGACTGGGATGGTTGTTACAGGAATGGGATGGTTGTTACAGGACTGGGATGGTTGTTACAGGACTGGGATAGTTGTTACAGGACTGGGATGGTTGTTACAGGACTGGGATGGTTGTTACAGGAATGGGATGGTTGTTACAGGACTGGGATGGTTGTTACAGGACTGGGATGGTTGTTACAGGACTGGGATAGTTGTTACAGGTCTGGGATGGTTGTTACAGGACTGGGATGGTTGTTACAGGTCTGGGATGGTTGTTACAGGACTGGGATGGTTGTTACAGGTCTGGAGTGGTAGTTGCAGGACTGGGATGGTTGTTACAAGAATGGGATGGTTGTTATAGGACTGGAATGGTTGTTACAGGTCTGGAATGGTTGTTGCAGGACTGGGATGGTTGTTGTAAGAATGGGATGGTTGTTAGAAGTCTGTTATGATCACAACTCCGGCAAGACCTGGGACCTGGAGGAACTGTTATATATGTCACTGGGTTCGTCTCTCTCTCTCTGCTGGGTTCGTTTCGTCTCCCTTGGGTTCATTTGTGATGGGTTCGTCTTGTCTTTTTGGGGTTCGTTTATGCTAGGTTAGGTTATTCTTCGGG